GGGTGCTGGTGCTGCTGTCAGTGGACCTGGTCCTGGTGGCGCTGTTGCTGAGGGGGCTGGAGCTGCTGGAGGTCCTGGTACTACTGCTGCTGGTGACACGGCGCCGCGTCGTCTGTTCTTTGCTCCACCGTCTCTGTCTTCTCAGCCACCGACTGACTCGGCACTTCGCAAAGTTCTTAGTCTCCCGTCGTCTACTGGTTTTCCCTTACAGCCTGGCTCACCACTGCCTGCTCCTTCTCCTTACTCTGAGCAGACAGGAGGTCTTACTGAGCGTCGTGAGCCTGCGTCACGTCCTATCTCGCCTGTCCGTCCTGGTCGTTCCGGTCGTCGTGTCTCTAGTCTGCGCCAGCCGCCTGTTCGCAGCACGCCCCTGGTTGTCAGACGTCCTTCTCCCACTCAGCAGCGTGTTCCTCTGCCGTCTCCCCCTGCGTCCTCTCTGCCTGACGTTCCCGACCTTGAGTCTGACCGGTTTTGTGCTAAGCACCCTACTGTAACGCGTCTGTTAGCCACTGTTGTCACTGACCCGTCCTTTGAGTCTGCGTCTGCGTCTGCCTTGGTTGCTGAGCTAGTTGACTTTGCTGCTGCCTGTCGTCTCGACTACACTGCCAGTCTTGTTACTGAGTCTGAGTCTGTCTGTCCTCCGTCCGTCGGAGGTGCGTGTGCTCTTAACACGGACGTCCTTGAGGACAGGCAGGAGGACCTTGACTGTCTTGCGGCTGCTGTACCTCATCTCACGGCCTGGCTGCTTGCCCCTGAGGGAGACCCGGATGCACTTGACATCCCTACCCCCCGCTCTTACACAGAGGCGGTCTCGGGTCCCTACTCCTCTCAGTGGCAGACAGCCATGGACGCAGAGATGGCATCCTGGAAGTCCACAGGCACCTACGTCGACGCAGTTCCCCTTCCTGGGGCGAACATTGTCGATGGCATGTGGATTTTCAGGGTGAAGCGGCCGTCGGGTTCTCCGCCTGTCTTCAAGGCTCATTACGTTGCTCGAGCCTTCAGTCAGCGACAGGGCGTTGACTTCTTCCAGACCTTCTCCCCTGCCCCGAAGATGACCACTCTTCGGGTGCTGCTGCACGTTGCCGCTCAGCGTGACTACGAGCTTCACTCTCTTGACTTCAGCACGGCTTTCTTGCAGGGCAGCCTGCACGAGGAGATCTGGCTGCGCTGTCCTCCTGGCTTCACTGGGTCGTTCCCTCCTGGTGCCCAGTGAAGCCTCCGACGGCCAGTTTACGTCTCCGCCAGGCGCCACGTGAGTGGCACGACGCACTGAGGACGACACTTGCGGCTCTTGGGTTTTCTCCCTCCACTGCAGACCCTTTACTGTTCCTGCGCACAGACACGTCCCTGCCGCCATTCTACATCCTCGTGTACGTCGACGACTTGGTCTTTGCTACTGCTGACACTGAGGCACTTGCTCTTATGAAGTCGGAGCTGCAGAAGAGACACACGTGCACAGACCTGGATGAGCTGCGCAGTTACCTTGGCTTGCAGATCACCCGGGACAGAGCACGCCGCACCATCACCCTGACTCAGTCACACTTGGTGCAGCAGGTCCTTCAGCGCTTCGGCTTCCAGTTCTCCTCACCTCAGTCCACTCCTCTGTCTACCAGCCACTCGCTCTCAGCTCCACCTTCGGACGAGTCGGAAGAGCCGAGTGGCCTATACTCGACCTGACCTTGCGTACCCTCTTAGCTTCCTAGCTCGCTACGTCGCACCTGGGAGACACCGGCGAGAGCACTGGGAGGCTGCTAAGAGAGTGCTGCGCTACTTGTGCAGTACATCAGGCATGGGGCTGGTGCTTGGAGGACATGGCTCAGTTGTTCTCACTGGACACTCAGACGCCTCTTGGGTTGACGACCTGGCTACGCAGCGGTCGTCACAGGGTTACACTTTCAGCCTTGGCTCTGGTTCTGTCTCTTGGCGTTCCACTCGCTCTTCTTCGGTTCTCAGCTCCAGTTGTGAGGCTAAGATCTACGCCACGGCCATGGCTGCACAGGAGTTACGCTGGCTCACCTACCTGCTCACTGACCTGGTGAGCGGCCTCTTTCCCCTCCAGTTCTGTACGGCGTCAACAAGGCAGCTCTTGCCTTGTGTCAGGAGCATGGACTGGAGCACAGAACGAAGCACATTGCTCTCCGTTACTTTCTGGCTCAAGAGCTGCACCAGCGTGGCCAGCTCCGCCTTGCGTACGTGGACTCGAAGGCCAACACTGCTGATATATTCACCAAGGCGCTTCCGCCTAGTGATCATCAGCGACACTGCACTGCGTTAGGCCTTGTGTCCATGTTCTCTCACTTGCTTACTTCTTGACTTTGTTCGTACTGTGATCTGTATATATGTCCTTGCATGCTTGCACTTGCTAGGCGTCGCTCACTGTACTACTTGTGTTCTTCTATATAACTTTGCATGTGAACTGGCCTTGTGGCCTTTGCTTTTGCTCAGAGAGTGTGGTGACATTGTGATCCACCCTGAGCTTGTTCTTTGTTTTGCTTGACTGGTCTTGTGACCCCTTGCTCTCCCCCACTTTGCCTATGGGGTTGTGTCAAAGTATAAAATGTGTTATATGTTTGTAGGCTATAGTGAGGTCGCCAATATGGGGTACAACCCCAACTAGGGTTTCCTATTTGTACCCTTGCTTCTTTCAATCCACTCATTCTTGCCTCATAGTTTTCACATCCCTCACGAGCGTGCTGAGTCAATGTCAGTACGCAGTGTTGGTGGGGTGCCTTATGTACTTAATAGCCTGTAATCGACCAGATCTTACATATCCTCTCAACATCCTTGCTAATTTTATTGCGAATGGGGGACGCCAACTTGAGCAATGGTCCGTTATTAAGTGGGTATTGCGATATCTTGTTCGTACATTCGGCATGGGGCTTGTGCTCAAAGGACGACAACCAGTTGCATTCATGGGACGCACTGACGTGTCGTGAGCACACGACATCGAGACTCTCAGGTCCTCTCAGAGCTATTGCTTCAGTCTTGGTGCAAGAGCAGTCTCGTGGAGGTTCACTCGCTCGTCGTCGCTGACACAGTCCAACTGTAATGCAGGGATCTACGCTGGCGCTATGGCTACTCAGGAACTCCGCTGGCTGGCGTTTTCGCTCACTGACTTTAGTGAATCGCCTAGCTCTGGCCTGATCCTGTTTGCTAATAACAGGGTCATGATCCTCCTGTGTTAAGAGCCTCGACTACATAGCAGAGCAAAGCACGTCCAGTTGCGTTGCTTTTTGCTGCTTGAACTACAACAGCGTGGCCAGTCGTGCCTAGTATACATGGCCGCAAGGGCCAACACAGTTGATATTTTCAGTAAGGCGATCTCGCCTCGAGATCATTAGCGGCTCTGCATGTAACTTGACCTTGTCCTATCAGTACCTTATTAGGATCTTGACCACTGTACATGGTTTGACTATGTTTAGATACCAGTATCCTCACCGGCCTTGTAGCCCTTTGTCTTAGAAGCAGTCTAGTAGTACTTGTACCTCATACACCTTGTTCTTCTTGTTGACAAGCCTTGTGGCCCTTTATCTCCTAGGCTGGATTAGTAGTGCCGCCCTGAGTCGTTCCTCACTTGCCATGCCCTGCCCCTTACCTAACCTAGAGGGTGCGTCAACATACACATGAATTTGTCATGTGTATTCTGTAGGCAAGGTTGAGTTGCACTTTAGAGGGTGTGTGTTGTTACGGTACCGGTAGATATAGGTGTTGGAAACAATAAGTCCCTAGAGCGCAGCGGAAGCTCTAGGAAGATAACGACGTCCCTACGACGGGGCAATGGTCACTCAGAGGTAGCTCTCCTGGCTTGTAACTTGGTGCCAGAGCAGCGACCGAGGGTAGGCCAGACACAAGCTCGGGAGTTGTGTAATAAGAGACATGCAATACATTCAGTTATATAGGAAACACACGAGGCAGACAGTTACCAAGGCGCAACTGTTGTAATATTCAGTTGCCATGTTACAGTCGCGCTGGCGCGACTGTTCAGCTTTGGCAAGGGCGCGGTATTCAGTCGCGCCCTGCAGGACGGTTTCACGTACTGTAGATCTGCCTCCTGCTGTCGATTCGACTCTTGAACTGCCACGCGGATCGCAACCGCTGTGCTCGGTTGCGCCCCGTTGACTCGTCACCAGGTTCAAATCCCTCGTTATGGCGAGTCCCTGTAAGCACACTTCAAACAGTACACTTGTATAAAGGCATACAAACATATTCTCAACAATAGGTATGCCCTTGTTAATGATTCATTCTATTCTTGACAAAAAAAAGACTCCGCTTAATAAGAAAATGCACCATTACAACACAACAATATCTTCCATTTGACATTGTCTTCTATCAGAGCGACACCTTCGGCGCCAATTATGAATGCACTATGCTCATTATGAAGCAACAGCTTTTATGAAGAACTAACCAATGGTAAACATAAAACATTGAGCCGCCAAGCACTCTGCAGGCAATGCTGCATCACATGCATCTCATAAGAGTGATGGCTACTCCAGACTCCCACGATTTTCGTACACAAAAGCTCAGTGGACTTCCTACCATCATGTTCTGCAGAAATGTCAGGTCAGACGGTCTCAATCAACGGCTGTAAGAGGGAGTTGCCAGACACGATGTTGGTTGTGATGATGAGGAAGGACGTGATTGCCGAATCCTGCTCAGCACCGGAAACAACATACATGCACACATTCGTTGCAAGGAGTGGTGAAGATCAGGCAAGTACGGAGCATGGGAGTGGGAACTTAGGGGTATTACAAACATTTACTGCATTCCTCCAACCTGCAGCTGCAACAGATTACTCGATTGAAATACGACTGCTTCCAGAGACTCATCTAGAAGGAAATGCGAAAGTAAGGAGAAGCATCAGCCCATGTAAAGTGTGGTAGCAATAGAGCAGCTCAACCAACAAAGTGTGTCTGGGGAACCTTCATAACTCAAGGTGCGCACATGCACACATATGCTAAAATGCCTGCACAAACACATCCATACAAGCACGCACCTGCATGGAAAGGAAGCGCAGTGCAGCAATTTCAGCGAAGGTGACGTCTCCCAGAAACAGCTACTATGTCTTGCGCACATACGAAGCATGGACTCCGACAGTCCCTTGCCCTGCCTTGAGCCTCGCTAGCTCAACACATGCACACCCCCACAAGCACGCAGGCACGCACCTGCATGGAGAGGAAGCGCAGTGCAGCGATCTCGGCGAAGGTAACGCCTCCCAGAAACACAGCAGCCACGAGGCGGGGCACGGACTCGGACGGTCCCCTGCGCATGGAGGACGGGATCCGGTTGGTGACGTCCCGATGGGTGGTGCCGTCAGGGGACTGGTGGTGGGTGGTGGGGAAGTGGTGGTGGGTGGTGGGGAAGTGGTGGTGGGTGGTGGGGAAGTGGTGGTGGGTGGTGGGGAAGTGGTGGTGGGTGGTGGGGAAGTGGTGGTGGGTGGTGGGGAAGTGGTGGTGGGTGGTGGGGAAGTGGTGGTGGGTGGTGGGGAAGTGGTGGTGGGTGGTGGGGAAGTGGTGGTGGGTGGTGGGGAAGTGGTGGTGGGTGGTGGGGAAGTGGTGGTGGGTGGTGGGGAAGTGGTGGTGGGTGGTGGGGAAGTGGTGGTGGGTGGTGGGGAAGTGGTGGTGGGTGGTGGGGAAGTGGTGGTGGGTGGTGGGGAAGTGGTGGTGGGTGGTGGGGAAGTGGTGGTGGGTGGTGGGGAAGTGGTGGTGGGTGGTGGGGAAGTGGTGGTGGGTGGTGGGGAAGTGGTGGTGGGTGGTGGGGAAGTGGTGGTGGGTGGTGGGGAAGTGGTGGTGGGTGGTGGGGAAGTGGTGGTGGGTGGTGGGGAAGTGGTGGTGGGTGGTGGGGAAGTGGTGGTGGGTGGTGGGGAAGTGGTGGTGGGTGGTGGGGAAGTGGTGGTGGGTGGTGGGGAAGTGGTGGTGGGTGGTGGGGAAGTGGTGGTGGGTGGTGGGGAAGTGGTGGTGGGTGGTGGGGAAGTGGTGGTGGGTGGTGGGGAAGTGGTGGTGGGTGGTGGGGAAGTGGTGGTGGGTGGTGGGGAAGTGGTGGTGGGTGGTGGGGAAGTGGTGGTGGGTGGTGGGGAAGTGGTGGTGGGTGGTGGGGAAGTGGTGGTGGGTGGTGGGGAAGTGGTGGTGGGTGGTGGGGAAGTGGTGGTGGGTGGTGGGGAAGTGGTGGTGGGTGGTGGGGAAGTGGTGGTGGGTGGTGGGGAAGTGGTGGTGGGTGGTGGGGAAGTGGTGGTGGGTGGTGGGGAAGTGGTGGTGGGTGGTGGGGAAGTGGTGGTGGGTGGTGGGGAAGTGGTGGTGGGTGGTGGGGAAGTGGTGGTGGGTGGTGGGGAAGTGGTGGTGGGTGGTGGGGAAGTGGTGGTGGGTGGTGGGGAAGTGGTGGTGGGTGGTGGGGAAGTGGTGGTGGGTGGTGGGGAAGTGGTGGTGGGTGGTGGGGAGAAAGGGAAAGAACAGACAGAGTTGTGCATCGTCGTGTGTTGTGTGTTGGGTATCTTTGAGGAGACTCAGGAACACTACCGCCACGAGGCGAGGCACGGACTCCATTGCCCCCCAGGAACACTACCGCCACGAGGCGAGGCACGGACTCCATTGCCCCCCAGGAACACTACCGCCACGAGGCGAGGCACGGACTCCATTGCCCCCCAGGAACACTACCGCCACGAGGCGAGGCACGGACTCCATTGCCCCCCAGGAACACTACCGCCACGAGGCGAGGCACGGACTCCATTGCCCCCCAGGAACACTACCGCCACGAGGCGAGGCACGGACTCCATTGCCCCCCAGGAACACTACCGCCACGAGGCGAGGCACGGACTCCATTGCCCCCCAGGAACACTACCGCCACGAGGCGAGGCACGGACTCCATTGCCCCCCAGGAACACTACCGCCACGAGGCGAGGCACGGACTCCATTGCCCCCCAGGAACACTACCGCCACAAGGCGAGGCACGGACTCCATTGCCCCCCAGGAACACTACCGCCACGAGGCGAGGCACGGACTCCATTGCCCCCCAGGAACACTACCGCCACGAGGCGAGGCACGGACTCCATTGCCCCCCAGGAACACTACCGCCACGAGGCGAGGCACGGACTCTGTTGCCCCCCTGTGCATTTTGAGTCAACTTAAAGAGGTGCTGACTCAGATGCCCCTCTGCGCATGAAGGAAGGGGTCCGATTGGTGATGTTCCGGTGGGTGGTGCCGTCAGGGGAATGAACAATGAGTGGTGGGGAGAAGGCAAAAGGAAGGACAGACATGGGTCGAGAGTCAAATGCTTGTCGTACCACGAGTGCGTGCACCAAGGCTACAGCAAAGCACACAGACTTTTTTTTTTTTAAAACCCCAAAGCCATGATCCCCAAAACAAAATATGCTTGAATTTTGTCCATACTACTGATTTTTTTTTTTTTTCTTCTATGTTGCGAACGCAACTTTGAGACAATTCAGTTTCGATAAACAGCAGGTGTCTCGAACCAAAATTACCTGCTCCCACTCAAAGGTTGGCCCTGTGGCAGTCTTCGTCACTTCGTCCATCGCTCTCCTGAAATGCAAAAGATTAATCATGCGGGGAGAGGCAAAAGATGAAACAAAAGAGGGGCTAAAGAAAAGATGGTAACATAAATGAAGGAGGATTTTTTTGAGATGTAACAGATAAAATTGATGAAGACTGTACGGTGACTCACCAGCCTCCAGGTTGGATGGCCTGTTGCAGAAGCCGCACGCTTAGAGGGGCATAGCCTGAGAACGTGAACGCAATGTCCCTGGAGCTGGTTGGGGGCATGGGAGAGGGTAGCTCCCATGCGAGAGGGATGTGGCGGGGTGACAGATTGAGGCTAGCTGACTTTCCGGATTACTAAAAAAGCCATGAATGGGGAAATAGCTGCGGGCATAGTCGCAGAATGTGAAAGCCATGTCCATGGGGCTAGTTGAGAGCATGGGAGAGGGTAGTGAGGCATAAACCGGATTGTGGAATCAAGAGGGTGGGCGGCTAAGAGAAAGATGCGCCGAGCAGTTGTGACGTGAACCCTGTGGACTTAAGTAAAACTGCATGCATCAGCATCATCACCCCTTGCTCTCTCAGCAGCAGCAACATCAACGGAACCTGCTTTTGAGTCGACTCAAAAGCAGTCTCAGCAGCAGCAACATCAACCCTTGCTCTCTCAGCAGCAGCAACAACAACCCTTGCTCTCTCAGCAGCAGCAACATCAACGGAACCATCACCAACTGCATGCATCAGCATCATCACCATCACCACCACACCCACACCACCCTACATCACCGCTCTAAATCTCACTTGGCATCATCATCATCATCGACTATAAGCTTCAGGCTTCGCTTCACTGCAGCCCATGTGCTGCGACCCTCCTGCAGGCACGACAAGGGGGCCCCACAGCACAACCACAAGTAGTGAAGCAGGAGAGACAATTGAGCTAACTTTTGAGTCCACTCAAACGTCACTCGCCCTCCTGTATGCACAACATGAGGTCTTCATAGCATAGCACAACATGTCATGTCAGCGCGAGTTTCTAGACGACTCAGAAGGCCACAAGAGAAGACATGCTTCAAAGATTGGAAATCCCATCTGCCTGGTACCCACCTGCCTGGTACCCACCTGCCTGGTACCCACCTGCCTGGTACCCACCTGGCGTTTGATCAAGCCCGCACGCTCAAAATTGTCGAGAGAAAATGCATGAAGGAAGCCATAGGCTTGGAGGAATTCCCTCCTGCAGTGCGATGCAATGCGGTGCGGTGTGGGGTGGTGCAATGCGGTGCGGTGTGAGTGCAAGCAGGAAGGCATAGTTGAAGAGGGAAAAGACATGGAGGAAGGAAACCATCGGCCTGCAAAAACTCGAGCCTGGTTGGGTGTGGTGTGATGAGATGGGATGGGATGTGATGTGATGTGATGTGATGTGATGTGATGTGATGTGATGGGATGGGATGTGATGTGATGGGATGAGATGGGATGGGATGAGATGGGATGGGGATGGGATGGGATGGGATGGGATGGGATGGGATGGGATGGGATGGGATGGGATGGGATGGGATGGGATGGGATGGGATGGGATGGGATGGGATGGGATGGGATGGGATGGGATGGGGTGGGATGGGATGGGATGGGATGGGATGGGATGCGATGTGATGCAATGCAATGTGATGTGATTTGATGTGATGTAAGTGCATGCAGAGAGGCACATGGAACCAGGGCCATTCCATATCTAACAATAGAAAATATGTGGCAGGCACTGGCAGAACCGAAATGCGAGGTGACTTTTCACTTGTCTTGAAAAGAACCTGGCAGAGCGGCCACAATGCACACACAAAGCCAACCTATGGTCTGCACACAGTTGACCTGAGGTGAATGCTTTAACAATACGTTCTGGGAATGCTTGGATCTACTCTTAGAAGGCAGGGTCGAACCCATTTTTGTCACACACGGTGTACATGAGGTGGCACGGTGTACATGAGGTGGCACGGTGTACATGAGGTGGCACGGTGTACATGAGGTGGCACGGTGTACATGAGGTGGCACGGTGTACATGAGGTGGTCGAAGCGTGCCTTGGGAATACCACTGTTGGTGAGGGAAAGCAGCCAGAGGAGACGCAGCATCGCGGTTTGAAACGCCTCAAAAGGCGCCTCAGGACTCGTCTTGATTCACACCGTACCTGAGGTGGTCGAAGCGTACCTTGGGAATACCACTGTTGGTGAGGGAGAGAGAAGGCAGAGGAGACGCAGCACTGTGCTTTGACGCGCGTCAAAGGGTGCCTAAAAACAAGTCTCACAATGTAATGTACCTGAGGTGGTCGAAGCGTGCTTTGGGAATACCACTGTTGGTGAGGGAGACAAGGGAGAGGAGACGCAGCACTGTGCTCATGGGATGTCCTTGTGACAGGGCGTCCTCTATGTACTCACACGCCCTGCAGTCACACATACAGACACATTCAGACACATGAAGACATGTGAACACATATACATGAATGTAAATTGGAATCTCTATAACTGTCTCTGATGGCGTCCTCTATATACACACATCCCCTGCAATCACACACGGGGATGTACGTACACACATACAAGTGCATGGGAGACAAGGGAGAGAAGGCGCAGCCCTGAGCTCATCGGTTGTCTCTGTGCCATGGCGTCCTCTATGTACTCACACGCCCTGCAGTCACACATGCATGTGGTGTGGGCATAGACCCACATACAGACACACATATGAGCATCTAAAGAGGTCTCTGTGCCATGCCATCCTCTATGTACTCACACGCCCTGCAGTCACACGTTCAGGCACATGCACACGCACAAATGAATGCAGCTCAGAATCTTTGCAGCTACCTCTGTGACATGCGTCCTCGATGAACTCACACGCCCTGTAGTCACACACACGTGGGCATAAATCCACATATAGACAGATACAAATGAACATCTCCAGAGGTCGCTGTGACATGGGATATGCCCTCAATATACTCACGTGCGCTGCAGTCAGACATTGGGACATACGACTCTACACATACTTATGGCACACCCATAGAGAGGTCCCTGTGGCATGGCGCACTCAGGCCCCTATGGCATGGCACACTCAGGCCCCTATGGCATGGCACACTCAGGCCCCTATGGCATGGCACACTCAGGCCCCTATGGCATGGCACACTCAGGCCCCTATGGCATGGCACACTCAGGCCCCTATGGCATGGCACACTCAGGCCCCTATGGCATGGCACACTCAGGCCCCTATGGCATGGCGCACTCAGGCCCCTATGGCATGGCACACTCAGGCCCCTATGGCATGGCGCACTCAGGCCCCTATGGCATGGCACACTCAGGCCCCTATGGCATGGCACACTCAGGCCCCTATGGCATGGCACACTCAGGCCCCTATGGCATGGCGCACTCAGGCCCCTATGGCATGGCGCACTCAGGCCCCTATGGCATGGCGTCCTAGACAAAGGTAGTCAATAGGCGGCCCAGAAACACACAAGAGACTCGATGCACACACGTACGAGTCTATAGACCGTGCTTCCAGAATGGCTTGTTCCGTGGAGATGAGAGCGCCAAAGGCCGGCCGGTTGGTGACCTGCGATATGTGCCCCGCTAGATTGGTGTGGCGCTGGGGGGAGCAAGGCGGTGGTACAAGGAGAGGAGGCGGGGAGAAGGAGAGGAGAAAAGGGGAAAGTGGTGAGCGCCAAAGGCCGGCCGGTTGGTGACCTGCGATATGTGCCCCGCTAGATTGGTGTGGCGCTGGAAGGGGGGTGGGGATAAGGGCGGTTACAAAGCGATTAGGGGGAGAGAGGGACAGCAGAAAGGGAGAAAGTGGGTTGTTTGGGGGAGGGGGAGGAGGGGTTAAGGCAGGTGCTCTCAGCTCTGTTCAAAGGAGATGAGAGCGCCAAGGCCGGCCGGTTGGTGACCTGTGGGATGTGCTGCGCTAGGTGGGTGGGTGTGGCGCTAAGGGCGGGGAAGCGTGATGTGGGGGGAGATGGGTTTGAGTCGACTCAAAACACGGCCGGCCGGTTGGTGACTTGTGGGATGTGCTGCGCCTTTGGTGCTCTCATTTCCTTGACTGGTGGCTGCGCCAGGTGGGTGTGGCGCTAAGGGCAGGGAAGAGGGATGTGGGGGAGATCGGAGATGGGAAGACAGAGACAAGGAAGGGGAAAAGGTGTAATGTGTAGAAGAGGAAGGAAGAATTTGATAGGACCAAGTCCACTGAGCAAAACCTCGCACATAGTGTTTCGAACATAAGGTTAAGCTTGATAAAGTAAAGAAGTTCACATGTATACTGGACTGTGGTGTGGGTAAAACCTCGCACATAGTGTTTCGAACACTTAAATATTCTACGATCTAAAAAGCAAGTGCTTCAAGGAATGGAAAATCAGCTTACTGTGAGCTCTGGCAGCACGTTGAGCTTCTTGACAAAGTCCTTGAGCTCCGATACCGTCTGCGAGCAACAAGCAAAAACAGGTGCAGCAACATGCGAACATGCGAACATGCGAGGCAGAAGAGGTGCAAGAACATGCGGTGAGACATAGAAAGAGGGGTGAATCGATTCTTGACAAGTACTTGAGCTCTGATACCATCTGCGAGCAACAGATGCAGCAAGTGCAACATGCGGCGAGTGAGACATAAGTAGGGAAAGAGGAGCAGAGGAGAACGTTGAGTTTCTTGACCAAGTCCTTACCGTCTGCGAGCAACAAGAGGAACAAGTGGTGCAACATGCGGTCAGGTCAGGCATAGAAAGGGAAAGAGGAATTCAGGGAAAGAGGGAAAAGAGCAGCGTTTTCTTGACCAGGTCCTGGAGCTCCGAAACTGACTGGGAGCAACAGATGCAGCATGCAACATGTGGTGAGCCATAAGTATTGAAAGAGGGAAAGAGGAGAACACTGTTTCTTGACAAAGCCCTTCAGCTTTCCCACTGTTTAACAGATGCAGCATAATCATCCTCGCCTGCTCTCAGCATAATGATCAACTCACCTGCTCTCCGCCACCAGAGCCAGCACCAGAGGCAGCTCCTTGATCACC